CTTAAGAAATATGGTATTGAATATGGACCATAACTTAAGAAATATGGTATTGAATATGGACCATAACTTAAGAAATATGGTATTGAATATGGACCATAACTTAAGAAAATGTTGTATTTTATATCTAGCAACTAAAATATCTACTATACTATACAACCCATAATGTACACACATTATAACTGATTCTGAGTTCAAGGACCTTTAAACAGCATTTATATTTACCAAACACTTCACTGAAAACCATTTTTATGAACATTTTGAAGCAGTCATTTAAAACATTTTCCTTTATTAATAGAAAACATATTTGTGACATTTTTAAGCAATGACTGAAACAGAAAACCATTTTTAGTGTAAAAAATCACAGAATATTAAAAAGATTTTACCATAACCTTAATTTTTATGTTCTTATCTTGGAGAGTGTATGCATCGGGCTTGATTGAAGAAGGTGCTGGATTAGGTGGAGGATGAGAATGGAGATGCAACTGTAAGGTCATCAACATCACTGCCATCTACCATCTTTTTTTCTATAAACAACATAGGTTCAGGAATTTCCTAAACATAAGTGCCAGAAGGGCCTGCTTTGGGTTCCTTGGGTGTTTTTTTTTTAAATAAAGAGTCCAGGGTTGTCTGCTTTCATACATGACAGAGAATATCTAACAGTTCAATATCACCTTTATAGATCTATTCAAAAGGTATGTTTTTTGAATAATATTGATTGCAGCTGCATCATGCTCAAACATATCTCTTAGCACCTGGACTGTGAAGTCTCTCTGTTGAGGAGAATCCTCATCATTATCATCCACAGTTTCTTCTTCAAAAGTAAGTTTTCTAATTCAGCAACATCTTCATTGCTTAGAGGCATACCATGCTCTTCCAACAGCTCTTCTCTACTTCTTTGAAGCTCACTTCTTTTGCTAATTGCACTATTTCACCACGTATATGTGATGTATCATCAAATCCTTCAAAGGAATGCACTGCATCAGGATATGTCTTTTTTCCATGCACTGTTCATTAGGTGGTTTGAAACTTCATCCCAGAAAGAACCAATCAATAAAGTAGAGTCAAAAATCTCGAACTTCTTCCAGAATTCTAGAACTGTTGGTTTGTCATTGCCATTAGTTTCACTGATAAGTTTCTCGAATGTCTTTCTCAAATAATAGGCCTTGAAGCATGCACTAACACCCTGGTCCATTGGTTACATCAGTGATGTTATTCATGGTGGCATAAATAAAACTTTTATGTCTGGACACAACTGTTCAAAATCCAGGTCATGGGCACTAGCATTGTCTAACAAGTACTTGTCACAGTACTTTTCTATTTCTGGAAAAAAAAAATGACCCACCAACCACTCATGGAAAATCTGCCTCGTTATCCAGACCTTGCGATGAGATTTCCATATTACAGGAAGCCAGGATTTCACAACGTTTTTTTGGTGCTCATGGATTTTCACTTCTGTACATGAGCAATGGCTTTAATTTCTTGCCACCATTAGCACTGCCTCCTACAAGGAGAGTTAGTTGATCCTTTGAGGCCTTGAAGCCAGGTGCAATCTTCTCCTTGACAGTAATGTATGTCCTATAAGGCATGCGTTTCCAATACAGCCTGGTTTCATCAACATTAAACACCTGTCTAGGATCATATCCACCTTCTTCAATAATTTTTTAAGTTTCTCCAAAAACATTTTCACAGCATCTACGTCTGCACTGGCTGATCCTCCATGAATTTTTGTTGTTGAAACTATATCATGCCTGGAATCTGTAAAACCATCATTTTTCTGTGGTTGCTTCTTCTCCCAACTCCTTTTTCAAGTCATCATACAAGCTTAGTACCTTCTCGTGATTGAGGGCTAAGCTGATTGTTGTGAAGATCCTCAATCCATAATGCCAGCGATCATTCCATTTCTTCTATGATAACACTTCTTTATCATGAAATTTTAACCTCTGAATACTTTAAAGCGTGCTTACCTTTACTTTCTATTTCATCAGCATTCTTCATTATCGTACATACACTTGTTGGAGGAAGTTTCAAATGGCACCAAATATCAACCACATATTCACCATTTCTATTGCACTTTTTTACTTCCATTTTAACATCGAGCATTACAGTTTTGTGCTTTTTGTTACGCTCATCACCTACGTTTGTTACTCATTATTGAAGGGTTGCAATGATACTTTGCGATAAACACACCAATTACAATGAGCATTCGCACCAACCACACAATGAGAGAGAACACGCATGGACTGAACAATCCTGTTCCTTCACTGTCTTTATGTGATGTAGCTCAGCAGGTGGGTGGTTACATTCAAACTTTTATTAAACTATTTTCTGATTATGTTATACCAATTAGTATAGATGAAAACTTAGCTAATAATCGATATCTTAACAGTATACAAGTTTTAAGTTCTTATTTTTATAACAAAATATTTTTTTAAATCCTGAATTTCCCCTAGTGTTACACATTTTCTCTAGATATCTTCTCTATTTTATCCACCACCCCTCCAGTACCTATGAAATTAAACATAAATTACTCACTATAAAATTGTCATTGCTCAGACAAACCATAATTTTTATAGCCTTCAATTTTGTTTGCTTACAGAGCTATCAAATAGAAAATCAGACCCCTCCTGCCACACCCACCTGTCGCATCCTCTCTTTCAGGATTTGTTAAGTTTTCTTTCTTAAGTTTAATTGTATGCTAGCTATAACCAACAGAAAGTGATAGTTTTCATCTATCAATTAATGTATTATATAACATTGTGTTCTGAACAGATAAGCATCAATTTCACTTATAATACACAGTTCATTCCCTTGGGAAAGTTAACGACTAGCTTTGATGAATTTG